TCCTTGGCGACGAGAGCGGCTTGTGTTTCTAACGCGGCTGTTTGGGGTCTGAAGCCCGGAAGACATGCTTCAATATTTTTCTGCGAACTGATTTCCGAGTTTTCCTTGCTGAACCGTTTTCCTGTTTTAGGGAACGAAATTTTGCAAGCTCGGCATTTCGCTTTCATTTGAAGCTGTCAGCTGTTCAAGCTTACTTTCCGGTGTATCCGGCTTTGTGTCACTTCGTAGGAGAGGAGATCCGGTGATCTCACTTGAGCCATAGATCCTGTCGTTTTGGACTGTGCATGTCTGCTTGGGTTTTCATCAATCCCACTTCTGACTTGGCAACTCAGCTTTCTGCACAGACCTCATCCGTGATTTGGGATTTTCTGGCTCCTTCTTCGCGCAAGCTGTGGCGGGCTACATCGGTGGCTGTACACTGCTTTGCTAGATCGCACTATTCTTTGCTACGTCTTGTGACTGCCATAGACTTACGCGGCAATGATCCGCGAAGTGATGCTCCTCTACATGCTGGCTCTTTTGCAGAGTGGCACGGCTATGACCAGGCGCGGCTCCGCTGAGACTGCACCTCTGGAGTTGTCTGGCCATCGCAGGTCTCCTTCGGCTCTTGAGACGGACCTTGTCGGTGTCCTTTCGCAACACCTGCAACCAACTGTTGACATCAATATCGAGATCGGCGACTCTGTTTGGTCTGCAAATCGTGTCATGCTGCGCATAGAAGAGGTACCTTCACCGGCGTCAGAATCTTCGGTCATGGCTACTGCTACCACCGCTTCCAGTTCTTCGGCAGGTTCTTGTACTTCTGCTACGACCCTTGCCGATTCAGGACTCGTTCTCAGGCTGCAGAATTTGGGGAGGGCCATGCAAGCTTCAGCTCGTTTTGGCTATCCGGTCACGGACGCTCCCTTGGAAGTCAACAATCGCTCGGGCACAGGCGCTTCACCTTTGGACAGTTTTACTGTGGGCACCGTGTCTCGTCCTGCATCGCAGAATGCTCCTGGCGGCATCCATGTGGTTACGACGCGATACCTTCCTGTGAGTCGAGCTGCTCTGCCTGCGCTTTCGGTCGATCCAGTGAATCAGGAGTACCCGGCATCTGATGCTCCGGCTTCTTCTTCTGCCGAGCGCTTACTGGAATCGCTTGACTGATGTTGCAGCTCTTGTGTTCTGACAGCTAAAGCGGCTAGTGCATTTCTTTTGCAAAACGTACTATAAAAGTAAGCTCTTGTGAGTGGCTGGGAGGCAGCTCTCGCACGGTACTGGCTCGCTTGTGCAAAACACCACTCTGAGCGGCTGATCTCTTGTGATTTACAAGGACTCTGTCAGTACTTTGAGCATTCGCATTTGCTCACGTCTGGCACCGCTGCATGAAGCTTTGACATGTTTCTTATGTCCGGTGCTTCTCGTGCATCTTCAGTCTTTGCATTCCAAGATTGAGCTCATTGCATGTTCTTGCACGCTTCGCTGCCATGTGGTGAGCTCAGTATCACTGCACGTGGGCTGCGCCTTGCATGCATGCTTTTCTGGCCCATGTTTTGGCTCCTTGCGCACTGCTGTTTTCTTGTTTCCAATAGTTCACTAATTTTCCCGGAGGTCGCTGACTTAGTTTGCCTGGTTGCATCATGGATTGCCCACGTCAAGTTTGCTTGCGGTTCAACTCCAGCAAGTCCAGTTCAGATGGTGCTCGCCGGCCTCGTCCTGACTCCGACCTCAGTGATGTTTGGAAAGCCATTGCGGCGCTGGAAGCCCAGCAAGGTCTGCTGCTGTCCATGCAGGAGAAGATCACTCGTGTGCAACAGGATCAATCGCTCCTACGTGATCGCCTTGAGGTGTTGGAAGTTCACCTTCGCTTGCGGAACCTCTCGCTCGCGGAGAATTCGGAGACTTGGAATGACTTCACAAGGGCCTTGCGTGCGTCTGTGATGGAATCGTCTATACCATCTGATTTCGCTCGTGGGCATGATTCGTTGGACATGGCCTTCGGTCAATGCCTTCGTGATGTTGATGGTCAGTGCGCGGCTTTGGATGCCCAGATCTCGGCCTTGCAGGAACACTTCAACACCTTGGCACGTGAGCGCAATGCAGATTCACCGTTTCCTAGCTCTTCGCGGCATGCTGCTCCCTAGTGGCTTCATGGTTTCGGTTTTGCTTCGGTTTTGCTTCGGGGTTTTGTTCCCGGTTCTGGTTCTTTGTCGGCTTTCGGCCTTTCTTTTTTTTGCATCCACAGCATCGCTTTCTGTCAGCACTCAGCTTTCGGGCCACTCAGCTGCTTGCTGGTGAGCCTCAGTCATGCGGACTCTGGAAACAAGGTCCTTGCCCTGCCTTTGCGTCTTTTGATTATGCACTCAACGTGAACCGCTCTTGCTGTAGCGCTGTTTTACATCAGGCAAGCATGTCTGTTTGTGCTTCTCGTGTGGGGGGGGGGGGAATGCCTCTGCACCTTCACTTATTGCGGTCGAGCTGTTCGGACCTCACAAATTTTCCCCTTTTCTCTGGCGTGAAAATAAGATCTGGATGTCGGGCCCCACCAGTCGTTGGACTGCTGAAGGCGCTCCCAAGGCTCCTTCTCATCTACCAGCTGAACCTTCCGGCAGTGGCGGCTGCTCGGCGAGGCTACCAGTGCCTCGGCATAGACTCTGGTCTGCACGTTGCGATGATTTTCAGCCGGCTGCTGCTCCGGTTCTTCACCCTCGCTACAAGGCTCCTAAGTGCAGGGAGTCCGTGGTGCGGTCCTTCGATTTCCCCATGGCAACAGCGGTCGATATCAGCTCTGACAGCTTCATCTTCTGCAGTGCCTGTGGAAACTATGTGGGATGCTTTCCAGCGTGCCAAGAATGTCCAGATCCAGCGCTGGATTCACATCGCATTGGGGGCCCAGCTCTACAGCATCTTCATCCAGGATCTGCTGAAGAGCCCTTTGGCCCATGAGCACATCGCTCGCATGGTTGCCATGAATGCTCCTTCGACCCTGGCTTCTTACTTTGCCGCGTGGAACCACTGGCAGAAGTTTTGTGAGGTTCAGGCGGTGATTGCTTTCGAACCGGCAGTCGAGTTCCTTGCGGACTTCTTGCACTTGCACACAAAGGGACGCTTGGGCTCAGCCCTGAGCATGGTAAAAGCGCTCCGCTTCGTTGCCTCCAGGCTCGTGCTTTCTGCATTGCGAGAGACTTTGGCATCACCGCTGGTCATGGCATACACACGCACTACGACCATCACTGAGCGTCGGGAAACGGCCCCGTTGCCCTTGTCGTTCGTTATCTGGCTGGAAAATCAAGTTCTCGCTGATGTGACGTCTCCGCGCCAGATTTTATGGTGTGGGATGCTGCTGGTGTGCATCTTTGCCAGTCTCCGGTGGAGCGATGCGCTGTGGTCTGCGCCCCAGAGATTGCAATGCGCTCGCAATGCGCTTCTTGGCGCAGCTAGGCGGACCAAAACAACCAATCGCACTATGCCGTTCGGTGCTCTAGCTGGTGGTTTTCTTGCGAGGCCAGTTGGCGCGTCTGGCTGGGGTCAGAAGTTCCTGCATCATCTTCAAACGGCGGTCCAGCGCACCAGACTCTTGCACCCTGGCTTCCAGCCTGACTTCTTGGTCGCCGAGCTTGGGGAGGACCCGCAAGCTCCTGTGCTACTGGCTCCGTTAACCAGGCAGGCTGGTCTCGTGCTCATTCGCTCTCTTCTCTCGGATTGCTACTCGAGTGTGCCAGCTCGGGATCGTCCGGACTTTTCGCTCATCGGGGTGCACAGCCTCAAGGGCACGTTCTTGGCCTTTGCGAAACAGTTGCTACTTGATGACAACCTACGTCGGCTTCAAGGCCATCACCGCGTGCCTGGCATGTCGGAGTTGTATGGGCGTGACGATGTCCTCGGGCCTCTGGAGCTCCAGGTGAAGATCGTGAACGCTGTTGCTACAGGCTTTCAGCCCTTACGTCCGGCTATGAGAGGCGCAGCTCCTCCTAAAGCAGACATTGCGGTGACGGTTCCTCCCATTGAGGATGAGTGTGATGCACCTCCTATCCCTGCACTCGGGCGTCTGCCGGGCCCAACCATGGAAATGGATTCGTCGTCTGACTCGGAAGACGAGAAGGTTCAGGCACCAGCGGTGGAATCTGTGTCGGAAGAACCGGCCTCTGCTTGGAGGGTCCAAAGCACTGGCTCTGTGGTGGAGAACGATGATCCTGATGAGTTCGAATTTCTCTACAACGCGACCTCGAAGATCGTGCACGTTGCCAGACCCTGTGCTGTGGATCACCCGGCCTGCCAGTACCGGCCAGTGCAGGAGTCCGCTGAGGATCGTCCCTTGAGACCCGGCTGCTCCTGTCGCGGCAATCTCACGTTGGGAGCTCTGCATCGAGTGGACGCGATTCCTCAAGGTGCTCGGATGTGTCTCAAGCATGGCTGTGGCAAGGACCCGGCTATCGCTCGTCTGGCAGCTAGCCCTAGTGTCGTTCCATGCGGCACCGGGTGATTTAATTTTGAGTGACGTTTTGTCTGGGAGCTTTTGTGCTGTGCGTGGATACTCGTCCACTTGCATCTTGCATTTTCCAGCTGAGTGCAAAATTGACCTGCGCTTTCTCGTGCTGGAGCCTCCGGCTTTTGCGCGGTTTCATGCCTGCACTCTTGTACTCGAGTATTTGGTCAACACGCTTGTTGACCACGGTCTTGGGCTGAGACGTGGACTCGCTCGCTCGAGTATTTGGTCAACACGCTTGTTGACCACGGTCCTTGGCTGAGACACGCACTCTCCCGCTCGAGTATTTGGTCAACACGTTTGTTGACCCGGGTCTGAAGTTCATATCGTTCACGCTCGAGTATTTGGTCAACCCTTTGGCTGATCGTAAGCTTTTCCGAGTCCTGGCATGCTCCTGGAAAGCTTGAGGCTGACCTTTGCCTTCTGCCGCTGCCGCCTTGTCAAGGTTGTTTGAAGCTAGTTTGTTTGGGCTGCTCAGCTGCGTCTGTCGGCAGTCTACGTAGTGGTAGATTGCTCCTTTGGTGTCGAGCGCATGGCTTCGGTCAGGATCGATGACGAGGACTACTTCACTGATCAGCTTCAGGCGTGGGCAGTTCCTGACACAGTCAAGAATAGGCTGGCACGTGGCGGTTTTAAGACCATATCGCTGCTCGCTCATGCCATTCCCAGTCTTGAGCATTTGGAGCCCTTTCTTGTGTCAGTCTTGGGACGCCCTGCGGGCAGTGATCCGGCCGCACCGCTCTTCACCCCAGAAGCTGCATCCTTGCGTCGTGTCGTGAAGGAATGCATCAGTCAGGTCAGCCCGGCTGGTTCGAGTGCCATTGCAACGCCTAGTCCGGGCACTGCTGTCCCCAAGAAGTCGCTGGATGCCGCGGACATTAATAAGTTGGTTCAGGACTTCCAAGGCAAGTACCCGTCGGAACTGTTGCGTCCCGACATCATGCCTTCGCGCGCTTTTCTCTCTGCAGTGAAAGATGCTGTGTCATCTGATCATATGCGTTGGTTCAGCTGGCGTGTCCGCACTTCCGAAGCTGATGGGGTGGCTTTTACGGAGAGGCGCCGGCCTCGCACGGACTCTCAAATGTTGGCGTCGCTCTTGGCGCCCAGTGCTGAGGAGGAATTCTTGATCGACATCCCCATGCAGGCACCTATGGAGTCGGTGGTTCGCAAGTTCTTTGATCGCCTTTGCATCGCCTTGGCTATGTTGGATGCGTGTCACCTGCTTCCGCTTCGCAAGCTGATGGAAAAGTTCGTCGGTCTTGCAACGATGGTGCCAATCGACCGAACTCTTCGGGGTCCCACTCTACCGAGGTCATGGAAGCGGATCGCTCCTTGTGGCTGGCGATCGGGTCTTTGCAACGAGACTACCAATGGTCTCTGACAGACTGCGTGTCGGAGTTCACGCATGTTCGTCCTGAGCTGCACAATACTCTTGCGCCCCGCCCTCGCACTAGTGCTGGTCATGCTGGGGCCAATGGTGAACATGGTCGCGGGAATCGTCGCAAATCCCAAGCCCAAGGCTCAGGTCATTCAGGTGCACCCCCCAAGAAGCAGGGAAATCCTGGGTCTGGTTCGGGAAATGGGACTCGTCGCAATGAGTCCGCTCATCCCTCCAAGAAGGCTCGTGTGTCCCCCTCCAGCTGGCCGTCGAACTGGGCCCGCCAGGTGGGAGGTCAGGGAGTGTGCATCCGCTTCCACACTGCTAAGTGTCGCAACAAAACTTGCCGCTTCTCTCACAAGTGTCCCGTTCTGGATTCTTCCGGAGTTCCATGTGGTCAGGCGCACTCAGCTACTGCCCATGTCTCTGCACCGCATTGACAATCTATGGAGTGGGCTGTCCTGCCTCGGAGGTCAGCCGACTCCCCGACAAGGGCGGTGCCGCCCAATTTTGCCCAGGTTCAAGGTTGTGCCGAGGATTTTGCATCAATTCTGCTACTTGAGTCGGGCCCGCCATCGCGTGAACGCGTTGTGGACCTGCTCGATCAACTTTTGTGTGAAGCACCTGACTCCGATGGTCGTTTCTCGGAGGGTCGCTCGGTGACTGCCGGGGTCTTTCATCGCCACAAGGTGGGCCTGCGACAATTGTGTCGTTCGCATCCGCAATCTGTGAGGGTCTTGAATCGCTTCATTGCCGCCATTTGCCCGAATTTTTTCCATACTAGTTTTGTTGCCATTGATGGCATCGCATCACGTGAACACAAAGACCATCTCAACTCGGACTTGCCGAATGTTGTGATTCCTCTCTGTGATTTTAAAGGGGGTGAGCTTGTTGTAGCCCACGAGTCTGGCTCCGTGCCTACGCAATTCCAGCGATGCTGCTTGCCTGCGGTTGTGCTTGAACCCAGAAAAGGCCCCATGGTCTTCTCCGCTGCCTCCTGCTGGCATCGTGTCTCTGGCTTTAGTGGACGTCGTCTGGTGCTTGCTATTTACACCTTGCGTGCTTGCACCAAGCCCTCGTATCAGGACCGTTGTACTCTTCAGGATTTGGGATTTCGTTTGCCTTCGGAAAGGGATCTCTTGCACGCATCTCCGGTTGTGCCTCATAACTTGCAGCTCAGCTCTCAAGCTCGCGAGTTGCTTGGTTCTGCACTGTGGGATGCTCAGCCCATTGTCCGGGTGGATGGCGCTCCGGTTGCCTCGTGTTCTGCACCTCATTGCGCTGCGGTCGATCTGATTGCTGCACCTTGCGAGCCAGTGTGCACAGACCGGCCTGAGGAGCCTTTGGAGACGTGCAAGCTGTGCCCTGGGCTGACACATCCGAAATTGTTCCTTGACCTTTTCGCAGGTGCCAAACAGCCTCTCTCAGTGGCCATGGCCAAAAGAAACTCTGATCGGTTTGAAGCGGTTGATCTGATTTTCGGCCCCGCTTTTGATCTGCTCGATGATGTGCACTTCGAAGCTTTGTGTGGTCTGGCCAGCAGTGGCCTTGTCGGAGCTGCTCGGAATTCTCGCCTTTGAAACTGCTGCCTCAGGGCCCCAACGCAGTTCGTGCCCCGTGGGCTCTGGATGGCTTTCCTGACAATGACTGGCGAGCCACCCTGGCTGTGCAGGAAAGCCAATTGCTGCATGATCGAGCTCGCGAGCTTCTGTCGCGTGTTGCTGCTGCTGGTGGCTGCATTATGCTGGAGAACCCTCCTGGTTCCATGACCTTTCAGGACTCCAAGATGCAAGCGTGGATCAAAGCTGAAGCTCCCTTCTGTGCACAGGTTGCCGCTTGCATGCATGGCTCCGCCTTGCAAAAGCGTTGGGCCTTTGTGTCAAATCGCCCGGAGGTTGCCAAACTGGCATCTACCTGTGCCCATGGGCCGAAGGCGCATGAGAGCTTTCTTGGTAAGCGTTTGCCGGATGGGAGTTACAAGAGCCGTTTGACAGCTGAGTACCCTGCCTCGCTTGCTGATGCCATAGCAGACTTCATGGCTCCATTTGTCACATCGCAGGGGCGTTGCGTGCCCATTGCGGCATGGCAAGGTCTCCTGCCTGAGAAAGTGCCTTGGCCACAGGGCTGCCTACGTGTGGAAGACGGGGGTGGCCTGCAGAGTTCCGCATTCTGGATGAGGCCGCTCGGCCGTGATCTCTTGCATGGTCTTCGCCTGGCTTGGACCCAGCGGCTCCTGTCGTCCGGTCTCGGGCGCGTTATACCTTCCAAGCTTGAGCTGGGCACTGACCTCTGTCCTCTGGCAGATACTGAGGTCGAGCCGTTCTTGCAGGACTTGTGCTGCTTCTTGGGGGATTCTGGTTGGAGCCGCCAAGATCTCCTGCAGGTGTCTCCTGGCCAACCCTTTCGTCTCAACTTGTTGCAGGCACTCCTTGAGAAGATCCAGGATCCTGAAGCCTCCATGTGTGCGGATCTTCGGGCCGGGGTTCGGATTGGTGTCGGGTATGAGCTTGCACCGTCTCCTCACTGGCCGGTCAGGCAGAGCGACTCCCTGGAAGAAGATCTGCAGATTTGTCATGGTAGCTGGAAATCCGCCTCGGACCAGCCTACTCAAGTACTCAGTCTCCTGGAGGAAGAGCTTCGTGAAGGTTGGATCGTGGAGTATCCTTCAGTGGAGGCTGTGAAAGCTGCGTTTCCCAAAGTAGCTTTCGGGAAGCTGGGGTTGGTTCTTGCTGAAGGTCGATCTCCCCGCCTCGTAGTGGACTCGAGCATTAGTGGGGTTACTTCCTCTTGTGTCATCCCTAACCGCCTGCTCAATCCACGCATTTCAGATCTTCAGGCCTGTGCGCCGATTTCGCTTGCCTCGGAGGAGTGAATTGTTGTTTCTTTGGATGTGCGCAAAGCTCACCGGCAGGTCATGATTTCGCCATTGGACCAGGGACTCCTGTCCTTCACTTTTCAGGGTCGTGTCTTCGTGTCCAGAACACTTAACTTCGGTGCCAAAGCTTCCTCTTGGTGGTGGGGTCGTATTGCTGGAGCCTTGCTTCGTCTTTCACATAAGTTGGTGTGGGTTGCACATCTAATGTTTGCTTATGTGGACGACTACTTCGGCGTCTTTCGCGCTGACACTGCGCCTGTCTATGCAGGACTCTGGATATTGCTGTTCCTGGCTCTGCGAGTCCCGCTGTCCTGGTCCAAGGCATCCTGGGGTCCATGCGCGCGATGGATAGGCTGGGACATCGATCTCCGCAGTTGGACCGTGTCTCTGCCTCCGGAGAAACTTTCGAAGATCTTGGAGCCTCTTCGAGCGCTAGCTCGGCCAGGAGCTACACGCATAAAGGTCAAGGAGCTTGAATCGCTCATTGGCAGGCTGCTTTGGCTGACCAGTCTTTGGCACCTGTTGCGCCCCTTGCTGGCCCCCTTGTATAAGATCATGGCTCGCATACCTTCGTCTTGTGTGGCGGTTCAGCCCTCGCTTTGGCAGTCCATCTGCGCTCTGGTGGACGACGACTGTGTGCTCACGAGGGCTACGTCTCATGCGTCTTTTCCAGCTCGTGCACGCATTTCTCGTGTGGCGAATCGCCAAGTGTTGACGAAGACTGATCTTGTGGGGCACCCTTTCCTGAAAAGGCGTCTGTGGGTTGAAGTGCGCATGCCTGATCATCCTTTTCGCGAGATCAATGATGATGCTCGCAAAGCAGCCGAGTCGTGCATGGCGTTGCTGGCAGACACTCCCTTCATCTTCAGTCTTCGCTCACCACCTGTGCTGCCCTTAGTTGCTGAGATCTGGGGTGTGGTTTAGGAGGTTACGTCACCTGGCCTTCGGGTGTTTCTAGGTGGTTCTCCTTGCACTGGTCTGCTTCTGTGGCGGCTGAACATCTGCCTCTCTTCTCTGCCCCTTTGCAGGCCCACATATCAGCCTTGGAGCTGCTGGCCCAGTTGCTTCTCCTGTGGTGCATCCACGATACGCTTCCCTCTTGCCGAGGACCACTTCGTGTTTGCCTGCGTTCTGACAACTCGGGAGCTGAAGCAGTCGCCGAGAAAGGACTCAGCTCTGTGCCAGCTCTTGCAGCTGTCCTCTCTTGCTTCATGTGCTTTCAACGCTGGTCCGGCCTTTGTGCTGACATTGAGCACATTCCTGGATATCGCAACGACCTTGCGGACGAGCTCAGTCGTCTCAAGGGAGGTCTTAGTCCGCTGCCACTTGCTGACCGCTGTCAGCCTCCTGTGGCTCACTTACTTCGACCTCAAGGCCGCGCTCTCTTGTTTCCCCCTGGCTCTCACTGGCCCGCTGCCTTCCGAAGCTTCGCAGACTAGCAGTGCTTCTGCGTGAAAAAAGATGGAATATTGCGCGGTCCTGCTCTTCTGTACCTGTTTCTCGAATGGGATATTTGGGGTCGAATTCCCCTGCGGGTCGTGAAACGAGTACTTTTGGGAGTCTCGACCCTTTTATCCGATTTTGGTGTTATCGTGCTTTTCTGCTCTTCGGTTCTTGGCAGCTGGTAAGGTGCCACGTTGAATCGCTTTCGTGCAGAACGTTTTGAGCATGATCGCCAATCGTTTCTTTCGGGTGGTCTTGCGTTTTGTGATCCGCCATTTCATCGAGAAACAAAAGAGGGTACTGAATTGAGCATCTGCGATATTCCCCTTTTTTCAACATTGGATATTCTGATGAATGCGATATATTCGCTGGAACATATCACTCAGAATTCTTTGGTAAGCTTGGACGCATACGGACTTAGAGATCTCAAACGGCTTGTGTTTCTAACGCGGCTGTTTGGGGTCTGAAGCCCGGAAGACATGCTTCAATATTTTTCTGCGAACTGATTTCCGAGTTTTCCTTGCTGAACCGTTTTCCTGTTTTAGGGAACGAAATTTTGCAAGCTCGGCATTTCGCTTTCATTTGAAGCTGTCAGCTGTTCAAGCTTACTTTCCGGTGTATCCGGTTTTGTGTCACCCACCATCCATCCCCATGCACCAGCCATGTAGGGGGTCGTGGGAGTCTCGACCCTTTTATCCGATTTTGGTGTTATCGTGCTTTTCTGCTCTTCGGTTCTTGGCAGCTGGTAAGTTGCCACGTTGAATCGCTTTCGTGCAGAACGTTTTGAGCATGATCGCCAATCGTTTCTTTCGGGTGGTCTTGCGTTTTGTGATCCGCCATTTCATTGAGAAACAAAAGAGGGTACTGAATTGAGCATCTGCGATATTCCCCTTTTTTCAACATTGGATATTCTGATGAATGCGATATATTCGCTGGAACATTTCACTCAGAATTCTTTGGTAAGCTTGGACGCATACGGACTTAGAGATCTCAAACTATGGGATCTGAATACAATGATGATGAATCTTCCGGATTTGCCGGAGGACCACCGTGGAATCTCTGCTCGAGTTCCTTATGGGAGTGTGACCAATCCGGAACCCCGTGGGCCTGCGTGGTGCGACGAACCAGGACGTCGGTATCATCGCCTTGTCCACACTGGGATGATGGCCACGGTGGGCACGGCCGAAGTCGGAATGATGACCGATGTGTGCGAGGCCGAGGCCGTGAAGTTTTTCTCCGATGTTTGTATTGGGGTCAACCTCCGTCGATTGAGTCGGCAGTGATTGTCGATACTCTCAATCGGCAGAACGATATGCCGGCGATTGGATATCTGAAGGATCTTTTGGCTGGATGCACTGCGTATGCTCAGCTTGGAAAAGAGGGATGGGATTGTTACTCGCGCTACAACGAGGAGCACGAGTTTCGAACCTGGCCCCTGCGCCCCAGAGGAATGGCTGCGTGGCGCGAGAAGCAGATTATCCACACGATCACCCAATTGAGCCAGGAGAGGCGCCGAAGGCGCATGGAGACCTACGAAAAGAATTGGAGAAAATGGGAGCAACGCCAAATGGGCGACGAGGATGGGCGTCGAGAGCATCTTGGGATGGTGGCAGAGGATCCTCTTATGCAGCTACCCATTCCGCCACCTCCAAGTTCGACCGCCAGGTCGTCGAGTTCCACGGCTGGATCGTCTTTTGGGCCGGCAAACACCAAGCCGGCGGTAAAGTCGAAGCCCCGGCCGTCGGTGATCTTAAGTCCAGAAGGAGCAATTCCAGGACTTGCGCCGCCCACAAAGAAAAGAACAGCGGACCAGGCCGGAGTGACTTCGGGACCGCCACTCAAGGCAACGCCGGAGCCGCCAACAAAGGCCATGCCGGCTTCCCCGTTGGTGGTAAAAGCAATGCCCTCTCCGATGACTCCTCCTGGTGCTTTTGGTCCTGGGTCAATGGCTATGGGCTCAGGCACAGTGGCTGGCACTCCGGCCCCAATGACACCGCCGGAAGCCAGGGCCTTGATGAATGTGGCCCGCGAGAAGGCCGAGTCCCGAATTCGGGAGCTCCAAGGCCCCTTACAGGTGCCACCGCCACCGCCTCCGTCGCCACCAGAATCGCCAAAGTTTACCTCACCGCCACCGCCTCCGTCGCCCCCAGGATCGCCAAAGTTGAGTGGAGCTACAACTTCGGTTTCCACCGTCCCCTCCAGCTTTTACGATGGGACCGCCGAGCGGCGTGTACGATTACGGCCACCCGCAGTGGATGCCTCCTCCACCCCCAATTCCGGATGCTCAGCCAATGCAAGAAGAAGAAGAAATTGTAGAGTCAGAATTCGGCGGATCCGAAGCAACAGAAGTAGATGGCTGGTAGAAAGATCCAGCTTTGTGGGGGCTTTGGAATGGTTGGTAGAGAAAGCCAGCTTTTTGTGGGCTATGGAGCCATTGAAAAATTCATGGCAAACGGCGCCACCGACCTTGAGGCTTGTTGTGCACCCTGAGAAACAGTGTGTGTGCTTGGTAGGTCTGTTGTGCATGGTAGGATTAGGAGTGCTGTGCGGCATGGTAGGTCTGCTGTGGTGCAAGCATCCCCAAAAGCCCATCAACAAGAAAACCCCCCGAGTGCCTAAAACATGGTGGCTGATTTGCATCCTGAGGTCGTTCGTCTGTACCTTTTGTCCGCTGAGGCCGAAGGTGAAGCGGAAGTGGAGGGCGTGCACGAGAGCCCTAAACCCAAATGCCTTAAAAGCCCGAAGTAGGAGAGACTTGGCATGCAGTCGATGTCGGACTCAGGTGCTTGCAGAGGTGTTTCCTGAACCCAAAAAGTAGGACTGTAAAGTGCCTGAATGCGGTTGTGAGTGTGGGAAGCACAGTGTGTCGCTGCATGTGTTGCTTGGTAGGCATGTTGGTGTGTGGCCCGTTGCGCTTGTTTGGATGCTTGAAAGAGCTTGTGAAGCTCAAGCTGATGGGAGCGTTAAAGTGGCTCCTGAGGATGCTTATTCGAAACTTGTTGTCTTTGGAGCGTTGGTTGAGTAGGCCGTGTGTTCAAAATCCACAAATGATGAGAAAAACCGGGCATCAAGTGATGATGTTAAGAGGACTCAAGAAAGAAGGAGTGCCTCCTCATGAACCCGGTGAACCTGATGTGGATCTTGACAGTCCTTCTCTTGCTCCTTCCCCTTTGGAAGAAGAAGCTCGACCACCCCCAAAGAAACTTCGAAAAGATCCTGAAAGAGATGACCGTGAATCGGAGCCTGAATTGATTCCGGAAATCCCGACAGTTGACCCTGAAGAAGAACCCGAAGCACCCGTTACTTTGACCGCAAAGAGGTTGAGTGAGCACCGTGCAAGAGGGCATCAGCCGTATTTGAAATCTTGTGATGTGTGCCAGAGTGCGCGTGGACGTCTTCCTGCGAGACGCAGGGGTATGAAGTTCCACGCTGGGCCTGGTGAACCAGGTTGATTTCGGTTTCTTCGGGAGACATATCCGCTTCATGTTGGCGGTACATGTCATCTCGGGGTATGTGGGTTTGGTTGTCCTTGGTCCAGAGGAGCCTGTTCCGAG